CTCTGGAACTGATACTGTAGGATCTGGCTCTGAAATACAAGAAAGTATCCAAAGTGTTAGCAGCATTTGAAACGGTTCTAAAAAGTCTGGACTGTTCCTTACACTTACAAGATTCAAAACAGATTTTTGGCTGCCTCAGTATAGTTTGCGATGTTTTTGTAAAGTAATGTAGGCTTTGTAACCTTTTAAAGCATTGCATGCTGTTTAGTATTCCTGTTTCACACTTGCATCACTTGTCACTAGATTTTTATTTTTGGAAACATGTGATGCACTGGTAGAGTGGTACCCTTCAGTTTGTACTATATAAAAAGGATTCCTGGAATATGGGTTTTATTGTGTATCACAGATCTCGTTATACAGTGTAAACTGTTTTGAGCTAATAAAATTAATTGGAGTAAAAAATGTTTTTTAGTGTTTATTTCCAGTGTATTGCAATAGAAGTGGAAAAAATGGTTTTAGGGCAAACATTAATTCATGCCTAACAGTGTGTGGGTATGACATTCCCAAAGGTAGTGAAAGTTTCAGATTCAAAACGAGCCCAGAAATAACTCTAAAAGAAGTATTTAAATATAGTCATTCTTCTTTATTGCTATGACTACAGATCATAGAATAATACATGTTGGACGGGACCTCTAGGGGATGTCTAGTCCAACTCAGTTAGGTTGCTCTTAGGACTAGAGAAATGTGAGAACATAAAACTAAAAGAATATCATTGTTTTAAAACTCCTGGGATTTGTCCCCCAGCTTCTTGTTCCTGTCCTTTTGCACAGGCAGCTGATTTGCAGCTTCTGAATTATGGCACAGAGTAACATAGATCTTGATTTGCCTCATGTGGCCTAGAGAAGTGTATTGTTTTGCACCAGGAATAATAAGATGCACTTCAGTGTGGCTCTGAAAAATAAAGTAGTATTGTGCTTTACATTTGTATGGTTGCCTGAATGCCATGAGAAGGCAATTAGTCAAGAGCCTAAAATAATAATTATACAATTATTAGTTTCCTTCACTAATTACTGTTTTGTATATAAATGGGTGTTCTCTAAAATTAAACTTATTAGGAAGGGTTGTAGAGATGAGGAAGATGTTAAACATTTAAGCAAATTTTAGGAAAAGTGTTTTTAAACAACATAAAGTTTGGGTTTTTGGAAGAATGAAATGACCTAAACTGTGTTAGTTTAGGGTTTAACTCTAGGTCATTTGATCAACAATGGGAGTGAATTTTGCTTTTGAATGAACTTGTGAATTTTGTTTCCTTAAAATAACTTCTTTCCGTGACTTTATTTTCACATGGACGTGCTTGTGTCAGTCCTGATTTAAAAGAAATTTCTGAAATTGCAGTAGCTATCTCTGGGAGATTAGGTAGTAGAATCAGACATACAATGCTTATCTTTATGAGAAGTTCAAATGTTGAAAACTCATCACATTGTGCAGCGGTCATGAAAAGCTGCCTTTTTAAAAAAGAAATCAAATTTAAATATTTTGCCTTTATTTCACTACTTACAGTGTTAGCTGAGATGTTGAATGATCAAAATATTTTAACCTGTTTGATATGGAGTCTTTTTCTTGGCAATGTGTATTCCATTTGTAGAGTGAAGGGGACAGAGGGTGATGCAGCAATGGAAGATATTTTTCACATACAGGAATTAGGAAAGGTGGTTTGGGCTGAACTGGGGGGAAAAATATTATGTAACTTTCTTCTTACTCTGTCATTTGTTATGAGAGTTCTGGAACACAGGAGATCTGTAGAAATTTCTAAGTCCAATTGTTTGACAATTATGAAGAAACTCATGAATCCTCAAATGGAAATTTTCTACTGAGCAAATGGCACGAGATTACCTTAGCTATTGCAATATTGCACAAGTAATTGCACAATGAAAGTACATTATTTCTACAGACTGTCACTTCAGAATAATAGCAGGTAATATATTAATCTATGCAATTTTTTAGATATTCTCCCAAACATTTGAGGTCTATTGCTTCAGTCATGATTCTTTGCTTGCGATTTTGGTTTGATTGAACAATTACACGCAACCAGTTTCTTCAGCATTAAAATACTACGTTTTCCCTTTTTAAAGGTAAACTCTAAAGGTAATCACTGTGAAATGGTGGATGGAATTATTAATTCAAAATGCTCCGGATTTGTGAGGTTAGGAATTATGAGTCTGTTATTTGTCCCTAAAAATACCATAAGGAACTTAAAACACTTTATGTATTGTATGCCTATAAGCAGGCGGCATAAATACTTTCTATGTTAAATACTACTAGTATGTGCTTTTAAAGTATGAATCATGTCAAAAGTCTTAATTTAAAGCAAAATTGACCTTGCAGTGTATAACTTAGTTGGACACAGTTTTTCCCAGTGAAAAACAGTACTTAACCATTTTATTTTTTTTTTAAATCAGAATCATGAAGGATTCTCCATCTTGTCACTGGTGCTGTTGTGTAGCACTCACTGTGAGAATCTGAAGTGCACACTATATGTATAACTGAATGTTGGATCTGAACTCAGTAGAGGTAATGGATGTAAGTTACCTGGGGGAGAAGTATTTTTTAAGGCTGTCATGAATATTTCAGGAGTTTCAAGGTTTCCACTACCGATTTAAAAAGGCATTTCCAAAAAATATTTTGTATATGTAAACAATTATTTGGTATATAGGAGTATATTTAAGAATAAAGTAATAAACATTTTAAAAGTATTTTTGTGTGTATATGTGCACACATTTTAAATGATTATGAAACCATTTTACCCTGAGTTTGGATATAAACTGTTTCAACCTCTTGCTATTAGTTAATGTTCTACATATTTGTCTGCGTTCTTGTTTGACATAAAAGCCTGAAATCAATAGGCCAGCTATTTGCTAGAGAACATGTAACTGTTTACTTATAAAACTCAAGCATTTTTTTTTCCTTTTCACTTGAGCTTCCCAAGAATTACTTTTCACACTTCATAATTGCCATATTTGGAGCCAGATCTATGAAAAAACAAAATAACCCTAAACCCTTGTCTGAACTACCTGCATCTTGTTTTAAGTCCCACCAAAATGTGCTAGTCTCGCTAGTTTGCTGGATGAGACGTCCCAGCTGCCTTCTGAAACAGCTGCCAGCTTGTTATGTAGTCAGCGTTATTTGTCTTTTAATAATTACGTCAGTTTGTCAGTTATTGTACCAGACAGGGAACTCGTGTGCGCTTGCTCTCCTTGAGTGAGCTGATTCTTTTCCAGCAGTAGTGGAATTTTTCTGTCCAGTGCAACATGAAGTCACAATGAACCCAGCAAAAGTTCACTGAAAACTCTGAAACTTTATTTAAATATTACACTTTCTCTGATTATTTTTTTTTATGTTTTATTTTGTTTTTCCAGTTATGCATCATAGTAAATACAGTGTGCTCGGCTTTTGTGTTAATTATGCAAATTCATGTTTATCTGCAGGGATTTGTGGCACTTGATAGGTCAGGTTCTCTGTCAAATGCTAGAAGCCAGAAGCATTCCTGGAAGTCATGGTTTTGAAAGCTTGTATTTTATATTGGATGACTATGAATGTCTATATAAAGAATTTATGGGGTTCGATGTAATAAAAATACTAAATCATAACTGCTGGTAGCAAAGTATTAAAATAGAATAAATTTCAATTCAATAGAAACAAAACTCTGACGTGACCTGTGCTCTTCCTCTTCATTCTCTCCAACTGCAAAAGCATAGTAATCCCTTGCACGTGTAGCAAAAATGGACTATTCTGTGTCTGGGAAACTTTCTGGTTTATGCATCGTTGTCCATTTTATTTACTCCCCATCAATGCACAATGGGAAATGGATTTTCTGAAGCTCTGGGTGGCAAGGCTTCCAGCACAGTTGTCCTCTGATCTCATGGGAGCTGCTATTTTTGACCGTTCTGATCTGGATGGGACTTTCCTGAACAGAAAAACTACAATACCTGATATTTACTCCCTGTGCTCTGAGCCGATACCAGCACCGGCTTGCCTAGTTTCTATTTTTATGTTCTAGCTCTTTGTGCCAGAGGTCTGAACTACACTTTTAATTCCAAAGTTTTCATTTATGTTGTGGTTTGTGCCACACAGTTAGGATTCAAGACTGGTCCTGCTGGGGTGTCGAAGCCCTTCATGTAGCAGTGGCCAGGCTTCCTCACCTGACACACCAACCTAAACTGTTTCTGACTACTTCCACCACCCCTTCCTACCCTGGTTACCTTGTCCTTGGCAGGCTGGAGGGCGAAGCTGCATCTTCAGGCAGACGTAGGTAGTCTGGGTTTAATATCAGGAAAAGCTCGTATCACTTAAGCCTGTTTCTGTTTGAGACCCTAGTAAAAATAATTATGTTGTAGTCACATCTATGTTGTTATTGAGCATTTCAGTTGAGGCTTCTATTTAGTTAGAACTCATTTTAATAATTAGAAGTAATGTCATTGTTCAGGGTGTTGTGGTCTGAGACATACTTTAAAAGTACCTCAGTGTTTCGAAGAGAATGCATCCGGCTTGTAATGCCCGTGAAGTTTGCTATTACCTCGTTAGAACTCAGGAGGGTCCTGGTGTCTGAAAGTGAGTTTGGTGGGTTTTTCTTAAGCTATAGCCATTATTGAAATAAAAGTTATCTTTGCTCTAAAACCACCATCTCTGTTTACAATCTTTCAATCAAAATAACATGCATAAAATTAAAATCTATTAACTAAGTACCAGATCAGGCTGCAATCTGTAAATTCTTTTTATGGTTCTAGGTATCACCTGGCTTGACAGGAAAAGGAACAAATTCAAGTAGTCAGTGAAATAATTTGTAATGAAAAATGTCCTTCTTTATATAAATCCCTGTATTCACAAAATAATGGACATAATTTCTGGGAAAAAAAAAAGTGCAAATTTGATATACACGGGATTAATGTTGATGGTAAACTTGGTGAACATGCACGGGACTAAAGTAGGGTCTGCATTATGGGTAACACCGGGTAGATGAAGGTGTTCAAGAGCTCTGCTTTATGCAGCTACATATGAGAATCATGAATCTCGTCCAAGATAAGGTGAAAATCGCGGTACTCTGCAAAGCCCATCTGTTTTCAGTTATACTTACTGGCTTGTTTTGTCAAAACTGATTTGCTGCTACTGCCTTTAAAACCAGTTCTGAAAACTGGTTATAAGCCAGCATGTCTCTCACAAAAACAGAAGAAATTGGATGAGCTGAAGCCTTTCCTTTGGTTACAACAGTTTAATTGCATTAACTCCGTGTTTTCAATGAACTGACGAGGTAACTGGAAAGA